CAATTTACATCACGGTTCTTGAAGGGCTAGGCAAAACTACGGTGAGGTGGATCTGTAATTAGTTAAATGGATGAACCCAGAGGTGCTCACCAATGCTTCCTCTTCATCTTGGAAAGAAGTGACAAGTGAAGTGCCGCAGGGTTCCGTCCTGGGCCCGGTCCTGTTCAACATCTTTATTAATGACTTAGATGAAGGGCTAGAAGGCATGATCATCAAGTTTGCAGACGACACCAAATTGGGAGGGAGAGCCAATACTCCAGAGGACAGGAGCAGGATTCAAAGGGATCTTGACAGATTAGAGAGATGGGGCCAAAACTAACAAAATGAAGTTCAACAGTGACAAATGCAAGATACTCCACTTTGGCAGGAAAAACGAAATGCAAAGATACAGAATGCCTGGCTCGAGAGCAGTACGTGTGAAAAAGATCTTGGAGTCCTCGTGTACAACAAGTTAAACATGAGCCAACAATGTGATGTGGTGGCAAAAAAAGCCAATGGGATTTTGACCTGCATCAAGAGGAGCCTAGTGTCTAGATCCAGGGAAGGAATGCTACCCCTCTATTCTGCTTAGGTTAGACCACACCTGGAATATTGTGTCCAATTCTGGGCACCACAATTGAAGAGAGATATTGACAAGCTGGAATGTGTCCAGAGGAGGGCGACTAAAATGATCAAGGGTCTGGAGAACAAGCTCTATGAGGAGCGGCTTAAGGAGCTGGGCATGTTTAGCCTGAAGAAGAGAAGGCTGAGAGGAGACATGATAGCCATGTATAAATATGTGAGAGGAAGCCACAGGGAGGAGGGAGCAAGCTTGTTTTCTGCTTCCCTGGAGACTAGGACGCAATGGAACAATGGCTTCAAACTACAAGAGAGGAGATTCCATCTGAACATGAGGAAGCACTTCCTGACTGTGAGAGCCGTTCAGCAGTGGAACTCTCTGCCCCGGAGTGTGGTGGAGGCTCCTTCTTTGGAAGCTTTTAAACAGAGGCTGGATGGCCATCTGTCAGGGGTGATTTGAATGCAATATTCCTGCTTCTTGGCAGAATGGGGTTGGACTGGATGGCCCAGGAGGTCCAACTATAGGATTCTATGATTCTATGAAGTCCTTTCTAGACATGCTGAGCACAGCATTTCATCCTGAAACTGATGGGGCGACCAAGCTCGAAGGACAGCATCCTGACAGTCCGTCTGCGCAGGGTTCCATACTTCGCACTTTACCAACACAACCGTTCAATGCCAAGGCTTCCCATCAAAATGGAACTGTAGGGGAGAGTCTACTGAACAAGCCAGTTCCTGCCGCATACCAGTACTGCCATATGTTGAGGAGGTACGAAGGTGGAGGCATTACTTTTCATTCAAGCCTCGTACAGCTCTCAAGATTCCATAGCATTGGGCCATGGCAGTCAAAGTGGCATCAAACTGTATGTAGATGTATCATTAAAAAATTAATATTTTTTTGGAGTGGGGGGGGGTGCGTCCCTCCAAATAAGGGTGCATCTAAATTGTAGAATGAAAGCTGTTTAATGACCCACTTTAACCACCATGTTTCATTGCTAGGCAATCCTGGGATTTGTAGGTTGGCGAGGCACCAGCCCTCTTGGGCATAGAAGGCTAGAAAGCCTTCCAAACTGCATTCATTCTCCAGCGTGGGTGCACTCAATGACACCTTTGAACACAGAGAAAAACCTGCTTTTCCGGTTCTCCTTGGGAAAGAGACTGCAGATGAGGATTGTTATCTGGCATCTTGGCAGGTTCTTTCTAAGAGATGCTGGGTGGAACATCGCAGTCTAAACCTCTTTAAAATATCTGTGGTTGCGACTTGGGTTTCAAAACCCAAGAAGGGAAAAAAGAAGGGAAAAAAGGATGACCCAAACAATGACCAATGTCCGGTCAGCCTCACGTCAATGCCAGGCAAGATTCTGGAAAAGATTGTTAAGGAAGTGGTCTGCAAACACTTAGAAACAAATGCGGTCATCGCTAAGAGTCAACATGGATTTATCAAAAACAAGTCATGCCAGACTCATCTGATCTCTTTTTTCGATAGAGTTACAAGCTGGGTAGATGCGGGGAATGCCGTGGATGGAGCGTACCTGGATTTCAGGAAGGCCTTCTTCGACAAGGTCCCCCATGACCTTCGGGCAAGGAAACTAGTCCAATGTGGGCGAGGCAAAACTACGGTGAGGTGGATCTGTAATTGGTTAAATGGACGAGCCCAGAGGGTGCTCACCAATGCTTCCTCTTCATCCTGGAAAGAAGTGACAAGTGGAGTGCCGCAGGGTTCCGTCCTGGGCCCGGTCCTGTTCAACATCTTTATTAATGACTTAGATGAAGGGCTAGAAGGCATGATCATCAAGTTTGCAGACGACACCAAATTGGGGGGGAGAGCCAATACTCCAGAGGACAGGAGCAGGATTTCGTTTTGGGGGGGGGGGTATTTTTAGGTGGGGTTTCGGGGGGGGGGTGAGTTTCGGGGGGGGGGCTGAGTCTGAGTGAAAGAGGGTCTAGCCTAGCAAACCTTTTGGCAAAACTACGGTGAGGTGGATCTGTAATTGGTTAAGTGGACGAACACAAAGAGTGCTCACTAATGCTTCCTCTTCATCTTGGAAAGAAGTGACAAGTGGAGTGCCGCAGGGTTCCGTCCTGGGCCCGGTCCTGTTCAACATCTTTATTAATGACTTAGATGAAGGGCTAGAAGGCAGGATCATCAAGTTTGCAGACGACACCAAATTGGGAGGGATAGCCAATACTCCAGAGGACAGGAGCAGGATTCAAAACTATCTTGACAGATTAGAGAGATGATTGGCCAAAACTAACAGAATGAAGTTCAACAGGGACAAATGCAAGATACTCCACTTTGTCAGGAAAAACTAAATGCAAAGATACAGAATGGGGGTCAATGCCTGCGTGAAAGAGATCTTGGAGTCCTTGTGGACAACAAGTTAAACATGAGCCAACAATGTGATGTGGCAGCAAAAAAAGCCAATGGGATTTTGGCCTGCATCAAGAGGAGCCTAGTGTCTAGATCCAGGGAAGTCCTGTTCCCCATGCTCTATTCCGCTTTGGTTAGACCACACCTGGAATATTGTGTCCAATTCTGGGCACCACAATTCAAGAGAGATATTGACAAGCTGGAATGTGTCCAGAGAAGGGCAACTCAAAGGATCAAGGGTCTGGAGAACAAGCCCTATGAGGAGCGGCTTCAGTAGCCTGAAGAAGAGAAGGCTGAGAGGAGATATGATAGCCATGTATAAATATGTGAGAGGAAGCCACAGGGAGGAGGAGGGAGCAAGCTTGTTTTCTGCTTCCTTGGAGACTAGGACGCAATGGAACATTGGCTTCAAACTACAAGAAAGGAGATTCCATCTGAACATGAGGAAGAACTTCCTGACTGTGAGAGCCGTTCAGCAGTGGAACTCTCTGCCCCAGAGTGTGGTGGAGGCTCCTTCTTTGGAAGCTTTTAAACAGAGGCTGGATGGCCATCTGTCAGGGGTGCTTTGAATACAATATTCCTGTTTCTTGCAGGGGGTTGGACTGGATACCCCTCGAGGTCTCTTCCAACTCTATGATTCTATGTCTTACTGTGTTATGTATCCCAGCTACCTTTCAGCAGGCTACCACAAGCTGTTATCACTTCAGCTGATTTCAATAAAATCTTCAGTGACTTCTCTCCAACTTGGTGAGCATTCTTTTGTCGGATTGGCTTCCTCCGCTCGCCAAGTGACGGACCCTCAGCAGCTGGCTAGGTACTGGAGCCATCCTCCACCTAACGAGCTTGGCTCCCAGTCCTAGTTTTTGGCTATCCACAGCCAAAAACTCACTATCCGCGGCTGTTTTAAATTCCTCTGGAGTCACTGTGAGAAGATCCTCCATTGTGCATGTGGTAGGGCTCAGGCTGCATTGTAGTGTGGTCCGTGGTTTGCACTTCTCCACACTCACCCCATTTCTTAAGACTCTACATCTCGTGGTGCCAGAGCGCAGTCTGTTCAGCACCTTCTAAGTCACACAGCCTTCTCTGTGCCCAGGAGGGAGTTCCTTATCTTGTCTCAGCCACTGATTGAGGTTATCGTTTTTTCACCTGCCACTTTTGGACTCCTGCTTGCTGTTACGATTCATAACAGTACCAAAATCATAGTTATGAAGTAGCAACAAAAATAATGTTATGGTTGGGGATCACTACAACATGAGGAACTGTATTAAGGGGTCGTTGAATTTGGGAGGTTGAGAAACACTGGCCTAGAGGTAAAGAAGTCATACTACCGCTCAATTCTGCATTGATCACATCTCACTTGGAATAGCACCGTTTCCATTTCTGGAGACCACATTTTAGGAAGGATATGGACAAACTGGAAGGGGTCCTGAGCCTGGAAGCGGTCCTGAGAAGAGGCACCAAAATGGTCAAAGTTCTGGAAGCCATGAGTTCACAACACAGAACATTATTTGGTGAAGATTTCTGGGGGAATGCAGTTATTCAGCAGTTTTTGCTTGTATACACGCCATTCCCTGAAGCAACACTTGCACAAGAACTGTTCTCATCACCAAAGAAGCCTTTGTGTTGCTGAAGGCTTTCATGGCTGGAATCACTGGGTTGTTGTGAGGTTTTTGGGCTGTATGGCCATGTTCCAGCAGCATTCTCTTCTGATGTTTTGCCTGGGTCTATGGCTGGCATCCTAAGAGATTTGTTCAGGTGTCCCCCTCTATAACAGCAACCCAAAGAAGCCTTTGCCTGTTTCGTGCTCCTTTGTGCACCGTTTGAGGGGATCATTTCAGGTTCTGATTCTGGTTAGCCCTTGGCCCAGTTCTGCTCCTCTTTCCAGCACTTGGGTTGGGTGCTTGAAGCTTCTGGGAAAGGCTTGGTGCAGCTTCTCTTCCCAGAGGTGTCTCACCAATTCTCGGACAAGGGACTTACTTCCTTGTGCGTCTCATTGGGCAAGACCCCAGGACTCCTCTTGATATCATGCAACAAGGCCATTCCCCAAGGCAGTCTTTGTGCTTTGTTCCCTGCTCAGCTTCCAGGGATGGAATTCCCCAACCTCTTCTGGAAGCAGATATATAAAGGGAATGGGCAGAGCTGGCGCTTCACTAAGTCCTGGAAAACCATGAAGCCTTCAGGTGGCCTTCTCCTTCTCCTCCTGGGTCTCCTGGCTGTTTGTGCCATGATGCCTGCTGCCTCTGGGAATGGGAATCGTGAGTGTCACCTAGACAGAGATGTCCCTCATTCTTGGATGGGAAAGACTCTCTAGATAGGACTTTTGTTCAAATGGATGCATGCACTGAGATGTGGAAGAACCGAGATCAAGCCGAGTTGTGTCCTGCAGGGCTCAAACCAAGGACCTCATGTGACCAACACAAGAGGTTGTCTGAGAAAAAGAAGTGCAGGAATGAGTGCCCACCACCAAGCTGTCATGGTCACCTTGGAAATGCTGGGAGGCAGAAGGGCAACAGCTTGGCCCTTTGGGGTGGGATGTTTCACAGCTTTTCTTTTTGTTTTCCCTTCTAGAAAAACCTGGTAGATGCCCAGTTGCACCTCCACGCACAATTACTCCCAACTGTGACAAACTGTGCAAGGAAGATGTCCACTGCCTTGGGCCCAAGAAGTGTTGCCAGTGGGGATGCTCAAGAATCTGTCTTGATCCTGTCAAGGGTGAGTCCAATTCCCTTGTATTGGGGTCTCTGTAGTATTCTGTGTGTCTGGTCTTGCACCAGGGGTCACCTTAGAAATTGCCCTTCACACAAAACCCTCTTAGATGGAGTGTGTGCTGTGATTGGAGATCCTGCTAAGGAGCAAGGGCACCAATGGATCTGGGCACCACAATTGAAGGGAGATGTTGACAAGCTGGAATGTCCCAGGTCTCAGCGGTGGCCGGGAGAGCTTTTGCGCAATTAAAACTTGTGCACCAGTTGCGCCCGTACCTTGGGAAGTCTGATCTGGCCACGGTGGTTCACGCTCTTGTTACATCCCGAATAGACTACTGCAACGCTCTCTACGTGGGGTTGCCCTTGAAGACTGTTCGGAAACTTCAACTAGTCCAGCGAGCGGCAGCCAGACTGCTCACCGGAGCAACATACAGGGAGCATACCACCCCCCTGTTGTGCCAGCTCCACTGGCTGCCGGTTCAGTTCCGAGCACAATTCAAGGTGCTGGTTTTGACCTACAAAACCCTGTACGGTTCCGGTCCAGTGTATCTGTCCGAACGTATCTCCCTCTACGTCCCACCCCGGAGTCTGAGATCATCTGGGGAGGCCCTGCTCTCGACCCCACCACTGTCACAAGTGAGGCTGGTGGGGACGAGGAGCAGGGCTTTCTCAGTGGTGGCCCCTCACCTGTGGAACTCACTCCCGGGGGAAATCAGGGCATCATCATCCCTCCTCGCCTTTAGGAGGAGGGTGAAGATGTGGTTATGGGACCAGGCCTTTGGGCACTCTGGCAATTAAATTATACAATCAGCGAGTAAGACCAACAGGATTGATTAAGTGGAACATAAAACTAGATCTATGAGTTAGCGAACACTGACCATGTAAGAGGAGAAATTGGGTTTGTATAGGTTTTATTGATTTTATTGATTTTATGGTTATAATGCATGAATTGTTGTTAACTGTGAATTGATGTAATTTTGTGTATGATTGTTTTATGATGCAGGCATCAAATTGTGCCTTTGCCTTTGTAAGCCACCCTGAGTCCCCTTCGGGGTGAGAAGGGCGGGGTAGAAGAACCCCAAATAAATAAATAAATAAATAAATAAATAAATAAATAAATATGTCCAGAGGAGGGCGACTAAAATGATCAAGGGTCTGGAGAACAAGCCCTATGAGGAGTGGCTTAAGGAGCTGGGCATGTTTAGCCTGAAGAAGAGAAGGCTGAGAGGAATATGATAGCCATGTATAAATATGTGAGAGGAAGCCACAGGGAGGAGGAGGGAGCAAGCTTGTTTTCCGTTTCCCTGGAGACTAGGACGCACAACAATGGCTTCAAACTACAAGAAAGGAGATTCCATCTGAACATTAGGAAGAACTTCCTGACTGTGAGAGCTGTTCAACAGTGGAACTCCCTGCCCCGGAGTGTGGTGGAGGCTCCTTCTTTGGAAGCTTTTAAACAGAGGCTGGATGGCCATCTGTCAGGGGTGATTTGAATGCAATATTCCTGCTTCTTGGCAGAATGGGGTTGGACTGGATGGCCCAGGAGGTCTCTTCCAATGCTAGGATTCTATTATTCTAAGGGCACCAATGGATCGGAGAAACCATACACAAGTTTTATTATAGGAACTCCATTTCTATCTTTCCTAATCCCATTTTAAGGAAGAATAGAAAGAGGATGGACAGGAAGGAGAAGAAATGGAGAAATGTTCCTCACAGGATGAATTTCCATCACAGAGGGGTCAGTTGAGGTAGACATCGAGGGAAGATGCTTTGGGTCATTACAGCTATCTAATTACAGCTCTCCAGGGAAGTCCTGCTCCCCATGCTCTATTCTCCCTTGGTTAGACCACACCTGGAATATTGTGTCCAATTCTGGGCACCACAATTCAAGAGAGAGATTGACAAGCTGGAATGTGTCCAGAGGAGGGCGACTAAAATGATCAAGGGTCTGGAGAACAAGCCCTATGAGGAGCGGCTTAAGGAGCTGGGCATGTTTAGCCTGCAGAAGAAAAGGCTGAGAGGAGACATGATAGCCATGTATAATAAACATGTGAGAGGAAGCCACAGGGAGGAGGGAGCAAATTGTTTTCTGTTTCCCTGGAGACTAGGACAATGGCTTCAAACTACAAGAAAGGAGATTCCATCTGAACATGAGGAAGAACTTCCTGACTGTGAGAGCTGTTCAGCAGTGGAACTCTCTGCCCCGGATTGTGGTGGAGGGTCCTTCTTTGGAAGCTTTTAAACAGAGGCTGGATGGCCATCTGCTTGGGGTGCTTTGAATGCAATATTCCTGCTTCTTGACAGAATGGGCTTGGATTGGATGGCCCAGGAGGTCTCTTCCAACTCTAGGATTCTATGATTCTATGATTCTAATGCTATCACTGCTGTTTGCCATGAGGGATTCTTAACTCTTCACAAGTTTTAGCCTTGTAACCAATTTAAGACCAAGGAGGAAGGAGAAGGTGATGCTACGACCTGATTTCGATTAGGAAAAAGGTCTATGGCATCTAAAACTGATTGGTTTCCACCAATATTCTATGAAGGAAATAGCAAACTTGGCATATCTTTCCATTCTTCTTCCTCCTGCTACTGACTCCCTCTTCTTTTCACAGGCTGACCATGAAGGAGGCCTGGATCCATGGATAAGGACCACCTGAGATGTCTGATGAGTTCCTCTGCCCATCCATCCTTGCTTCCAGAGAGTCCAAATACTTCATTTTTCCCATTGAGGTTCCAATTCTAAGACCCTTCTTTCCCTTGATAATAAATTGACTCGTTTCCTGCACCTCAAGAGACTGGGCTTGTTTTTGTTTGGTGGAAAGAGGTGGGTTTCTTTCAAATGTGGCTCTTTTGAGCAAACCAGATCTTGTTTTTGCTTTACGATTCCTGCTGCCACTCAGCGTTCCCTCTACCTTTCCCCTTATGGCTGAGACGCCAACATTGCAGTTCTTGAGGGGCTTCCATGGCTGCCTTATTGGTCCAGAGGAGGTTGCTCTTTCAGTTGCCTGCCAACACTTGGCCCAGCTCTGCTCTTCTTTCCAGCGCTCTGGTTCCAGGTGGGACTCTCTCTCCCTTACGTTGGGTGGAGGACACTTCTGAGAAAGGCTGGTGGCCCTTCTCTTCTGGAGGATGTCCATCCCATAGTTACCTACTTTCTTGGCTGTTATGGGCCAAGTTTATTAAGAAATATTGCAACCATAATACAAACATTTTAGACAATTCTCAGGTTTATATCCACTTTTAATAAGATGAGAAGTAGCAAGCGCCTGCTGCTAAGGTTCTGCACCAATGGACTCAACGCTATTGGGAAAGGCTGGATGGACCTTCCATTCCCAGAGGTGCCACCGCTGACACCTGCACATCAAGCATCAGCGCTGAATCCAGGAGGACCCCCAAATAGGGCTGGGTAACCACGGAAAAATTTGTTTCTAAACTCGATTCGTTTCCAGGGAGTGCTAGTGTTTCCAAGTTCTAAATACTTCCGAAATTTTGAGATTTCAAAATTTCGTTATTTACGAAATTTCGTTAATTTCGAATCGAATCGTTAATGGCGGACGCGATTGCGCAATATGCTAAAAAAACCTCCAAATGGGACAGGGGGAACTTCTGAAGCTTCCCTCTCCCTCTGTTGTTGACTGTTGGTGTGATAAAACAAACAACGACTATAAAACTTGCACCAGACATGCGAAAATAATTACGAAATAATTACAAAATAATTACGAAATAATTACGGAACAATTTCAAAATAATAACGAAACAATAACGAAATAAATTGAAAAAATTGTTTCGAATCTAATTTACTCCTCACACTATCCCTGCATGGCTCAATATCGGATTGTAAGCTAATTTAAATACGAATTAATAACGAATTACGAAATTAATGAACGAAACCACCCAGCCCTACCCCCAAATTGCGGACCTGTGACTTCAGGGGGAGTGCAACGCCATCCAGGACAGGTTGCCACCCAATACCCTGGTCAGACGGGCGACTGACCTGGAGGACCTCTGTCTTGTCAGGATTGATCCTCAACTTGTTCATCCTCATCCAGCTCATCACAGCAGCCAGGCACTGGTCCAGTATCCGTGGGGCGTCCTCGGAATCTGATGGAAATGAGTAGTGAAGTTGGGTGCCATCTGCGTAGAGATGGCACCGTACTCCAAAACTCCGGATGACCTCTCCCAGCGGTTTCATGTAGATGTTAAATAGCATGGGGGACAGAATGGATCCTTGCCACTGTATACAATGGGACCAGAGTATCAAAGTATTTTGATATCCATAGTTACCTTACAGTCAAAGCCATGGTATTCCCTGTCGTCACCTACGGATGTGAGAGCTGGACCTTAGGGAAGGCTGAGCAAAGGAAGAGAGATGCTTTTGAGCTGTGGTGTTGGAGGAAAGTGCTGAGAGTGCCTTGGACTGCGAGAAGATCCAACCAGTCCATCCTCCAGGAAATAAAGCCCGGCTGCTCACTGGAGGGAAGGAGACTAGAGACAAAGTTGAAGTACTTTGGCCACAACATGAGGAGACAGGAAAGCCTAGAGAAGACAATTATGCTGGGGAAAGTGGAAGGCAAAAGGAAGAGGGGCCGACCAAGGGCAAGATGGATGGATGGCATCCTTGAAGTGACTGGACTGACCTTGAAGGAGCTGGGGGTGGTGACGGCTGACAGGGAGCTCTGGCGTGGGCTGGTCCATGAGGTCACGAAGAGTCGGAGATGACTGAACGAATGAACAACAGTTACCTTATCTCTCTCCTGAGGAATCTGTATAAAGACCAAGTAGCAACAGTAAGAACTGACCACGGAACAACAGACTGGTTCAAGATTGGGAAAGGCGTACGGCAAGGCTGCATACTCTCACCCAACCTATTCAACTTGTATGCAGAACACATCATGCGATGTGAGGGGCTTGACAAATCCAAGGCTGGAGTTAAAATGGCTGGACGAAACATTAACAAACTTAGATATGCAGATGATACCACTTTGATGGCCGAAAGCAAGGAGGAGCTGAGGAGCCTTCTAACCAAGGTGAAAGAAAAAAGTGCAAAAGCTGGGTTGCAGCTAAACATAAAAAAACCCAAGATTATGGCAACAAGAATGATTGACAACTGGGAAATAGAGGGAGAAAATGTGGAGGCCGTGACAGGGTTTGTATTTCTAGGTGCAAAGATGAGTGCAGATGCAGACTGTGGCCAGGAAATCAGGAGACGCTTCCTTCTTGGGAGGAGAGCAATGACCAATCTCGATAAAAGAGTGAAGAGTATCACACTGGCAACAAAGATCCGCATAGTTATAGCAATGGTATTCCCCATAGTAACCTTTGGATGTGAGAGCTGGACCAGAAGGAAGGCTGAGCAAAGGAAGAGAGGTGCTTTTGAACTGTAGTGTTGGAGGAACGTTCTGAGAGTGCCATGGACCGCAAGAAGATCCAACCAGTCCATACATTGGAGGGAAGGAGAGGAGATGCCAAGATGAAGTCCTTTGGCCACATCATGAGAAGAAAGGAAAGCTTAGAGAAGACAATGATGCTGGGGGAAATGGAAGGAAAAAGGAAGAGGGGCCAACCAAGGGCAAGATGGATGGATGGTGACCTTGAAGGAGCTGGGGGTGGTGACAGCCGTCAGGGAGCTCTGGCATGGGCTGCTCCAGGAAGTCATGAAGAGCCAGAATCGACTGAACGAATGAACAACAACAACAACAACAAAAGTTACCAAGGGCCCACTATATGGAATACAAATTCTGTAGCATAGAATGTATCCTTCTGCTCCCCCTTTAGTACATATGTTGAAATGATATTGCCTATCTACTAACTGGCCCAGCACCCAAAATTGATTCTCCTTTCCCACCAATCTGATCCATGCCATGTGATTTTGAGATGCTGCTCCTAGATCTGGCATCTTTAGAGTTGGCACATCCTTTTCTAATTTTGGAGCTACTATCAGTTGGACCCCCCAAATCCCCATATCTTGCTTTGGGGCCCATGGCAGGTCAAAAGTTCCCGAGTCTCCTCTGGCCTTTCATCCAGCTCTTAGCCAACGCAGCCTGTTCCTCATGTGTTTCCTCACCTGCTCAGCAGGTAAGCAGCAGATTCAGCAATGGTCCTCAGACACACAAGATCTGCTCCTGGCTCATTGACAACTGGAAAATTCCACTCCAGGCAGCAATCTCAGCCTTTCTCTGTTGAGGAAAGATTATGAAAGCCACCTTTTTCTTCTGTTCCTGGTTTTCTCACCACAGGATGAGCATTGTACTCCAAGGCTGGGAAGCACCACAGCACTTAAAACACACACCAGTCCAAGGTAAAATAGCAAACAGTTTATTGAAGAATAGCAATTCAGCAAAATAGTATCAGAAACCAAAGTCCCAAAATCAGAGGCAATCCATTAAAAAATGTTACATGAATACCATCAGAAAACCATGAATACAAGAGCAGAATAACTGGGTTGTTGTAGTTTTTTGGGCTATATGGCCATGTTATATAGTTACCGGGGGGGGGGGGGGGGTTGGTGCTCAATTTCTAAGCCAAAAAGCTGGTGTTATCCATAGACACCTCCAAGGCTGACATGGAGGAAGAACTTCCTGACTGTGAGAGCCGTTCAGCAGTGGAACTCTCTGCCCCGGAGCGTGGTGGAGGCTCCTTCTTTGGAAGCTTTGAAACAGAGGCTGGATGGCCATCTGTCAGGGGGTGATTTGAATGCAATATTCCTGCTTCTTGGCAGAATGGGGTTGGACTGGATGATGGCCCAGGAGGTCTCTTCCAACTCTTTGATTCTATGATTCTAATATTGGTATTACATTTACATACCAATATATAATACCAATATTTTAAATATTCATATCAGTATTTTAAACAATTGCCAGGTTTATCTGAATGTTCAGTCCACCAATTGACTGCTCAACTGCTGTTATAGGCAACCACAATAGCCCTTAAGTAGAATCATAGAATCATAGAGTTGGAAGAGACCTTGTGGGCCATCCAGTCCAATTCCTTGCCAAGAAGCAGGATAAATATAGTAAAAAAACAAAAACAATTCAAATACAATGGGTTCTGCATCCACATATTTCAACCGACCATGGCTTGAAAGGATAACTCCTCCTCGACTCCAAAAATACATCCAAAAGGCTCACCTTGGTTTTTGCTAAACATTATGTTGATGTTCAGACACACTCTGCTGTAGCCTCCAACCATTTCAGGTATTTCCAAATTCCCTCCAGCATCAGTTTGGGTTGTTCTTCATTTTAGAACAGGGATGCCATTTTATTAGGCCCTTGCATACAATAAGAATTGGGCATTCATGGTTTGGGTACACACAAATATCTTGGAACCAAATTCCTGGTGGCTACCAAAGACCCACAGGATTTAATACAATTTATGTAATAAAGAATTGCCTTTCTGCTGTTCCTCAAATTCAAATGTTAAAATCATATTGCCTTTCTGCTTTCCCACCTACTGGGCCAAGTCCAAAACTCCATTCCCTTTCCTCACCAATCTGGGCCATCCCAAATTCTGTTGGTGGCCTGCTTCTAGAGATGTGCTGACGCCTCCTCTTCTTCCAAGGCCTCAACATCTTGCTTCAGGGACGATGGCATGTCCAAAAGTCCTGCGTCTTCTCTGGCCTTTCATCCAGATTTTAACCAATGTAGACCATTCCCCAGGTATCTCCTCACCTGCTCAGCAGTTGGGCAGTGCGTTCGGCAATGGCCCTCAGACACATAAGATCTGGTCTTGGCTGATC